TTATAAAAAATATTGTATGGTTGGTAGTAAAATAATACACGTAGATTAATTAGGTTATATAAAGAAAAGTCATAATTAGTATCTTTTTTTTGACATGGAAGAACGCTGCCTATTTGAAATATTATCCGATATTAATTTCAGTCTGATCGATTTGAAAATTGAAGAAATAAGTGTATATTGCATTATAAAAAATATTGTAAGTTGGTAGTAAAATAATACACGTAGGTTAATTAGGTTATGTAAAGAAAAGTCATAATTAGTATCTCTTTTTTGACATGGAAGAACGCTGCCTATTTGAAATATTATCCCATATTAATTTCAGTCTGACCGATTTGAAAATTAAATAAATCAGCGGATATTGCATTATAAAAAATAATGCAAGTTGGTAGTAAAATAATACACGTAAGTTAATTAGGTTATGTAAAGAAAAGTTATAGTTAGTATCTCTCTTCTCATAAATATTATCCGATATTAATTTCAGTCTGACCGATTTGAAAATTGAAGAAATCAACGGATATTGCATTATAAAAAATATCGTATGGTTGGTAGTAAAATAATACACGTAGATTAATTAGGTTATATAAAGAAAAGTCATAATTAGTATCTTTTTTTTGACACGGAAGAACGCTGCCTATTTGAAATATTATCCGATATTAATTTCAGTCTGACCGATTTGAAAATTGAAGAAATCAGCGGATATTGCATTATAAAAAATATTGTAAGTTGGTAGTAAAATAATACACGTAGGTTAATTAGGTTATGTAAAGAAAAGTCATAATTAGTATCTCTTTTTTGACATGGAAGAACGCTGCCTATTTGAAATATTATCCCATATTAATTTCAGTCTGACCGATTGGAAAATTGAAGAAATAAGTGGATATTGCATTATAAAAAATAATGCAAGTTGGTACTAAAATAATACACTTAGGTTAATTAGGTTATATAAAGAAAAGTTATAGTTAGTATCTCTTTTTTGACACGGAAAAACGCTGCCTACTTGAAATATTATCCGATATTAATTTCAGTCTGATCGATTTGAAAATTGAAGAAATAAGTGTATATTGCATTATAAAAATTAATGCAAGTTGGTAGTAAAATAATACACGTAGGTTAATTAGGTTATGTAAAGAAAAGTTATAGTTAGTATCTCTCTTTTCTCATAAATATTATTCGATATTAATTTCAGTCTGACCAATTTGAAAATTGAAGAAATCAGCAGATATTGCATTATAAAAAATAATGCAAGTTGGTAGTAAAATAATACACGTAAGTTAATTAGGTTATGTAAAGAAAAGTCACAGTTAGTATCTCTCTTTCGTGATAGATGTCCTCTCTTGAGATTCAGCTTCTTCGACAAGGAATAACCCATTTAACTGCCTACTTAAAAATATTGTCCGATTAATTTCAATCTGACAATTGCTTCAATCGATCTAAAAATTGTGCGAAAATAAGCGAATTTTATAATATAAACTATAGTTGGTAGTAGCATTAGTTGGGTGAAACTGCATTGTACAGTATATACACGTATTTCTCGTTAATTACTGTTATTTACCGCATGCACTCATTAACGAGCCACGACTCGAAGGAATAAAAACAGGAGTTTATTTTCGGTTATTTCACCGTGGGCGTTGAAGAACTCGTGGAATTCGAATATTGACATAATAACCTGAATCTATCTGTCCGGTAGAATAAACGATATTAACGTTAATAAGAGAGCGCATTTTCGTAGTACGCGAAAGTTGTTTGTTAGGTTCTCCCACTGTATAAATGTATAAATGTTCGATGCCGCTTGAATTAATACATTTTTTCAAATTAATCGAAACGCATGTTTTATCGGAGTTGAAGGGAATTCTCGTGTAATACGTTAATAAGTTACACGCACGTCCCTATTTATATAATGATAATGATGTTGAAGAATGGTGGGAAGCAGTTGGCAAGTCGGCGAATGATTTATTATTTGTAATCGTGTTAGTCTAATCGGTGTTGTAGAGAGCGCACGTTGAGGATAAAAGGGACCAAGGGGGGGCACTGAAACGGTCCTATTAAGCCTCTATAGAGGAGCGTCCATTGGCCCACCCTATTCTCACGCGTACAATGACGAGTAATAACTTTTCTGAGGCGGTGGCAACCTCATCGTAGGTTATATACTCCGGCGGAGGAATCGAAACGATTTCACGGTCATCAGAGCAGTTTCCCCGTTTCTTTTGTTGGTGAATCTATTAATAAAGATGCACTAAAGAGAGAGAGGAAATAAAACCAAGTTCGCTTACCCCACGAACGAAAGATCCCCCACCTTCGTAGCTTGTAACCGAGAAGGAATCGTGGAATTATCTTTATTTATGCAAAATGCGCGTATAAAATTAAGCAGCTGCGTAGATGTTTCATACGGGTAATTTTAATAGCGAATACATGCGGCATTAACGTCGCTTCGTACGATTTATCCGGCAATGCCGCGAATCACTTGAACGAGCCAGGCCAATTTAAGATACCATTTAATCGAAGATGCGGAGATTTCATGCGGAGATGAGAAATTAAAGCGGGTATTAATGCGAGTATCAAGGCTTGCGAGGGAGAGCAGAGGCAAAAGTCCCGAGGGGTATATATCTCTAAGCTTGTTTGGCGCGTTCGGAATGTTTTCTGGAATCCCGGCGGAACGCGAAAGGGGAATGAACACCTTGCGATAATTTATCGAGTAGTCCAAGTAGGCTTAATCCGTTAATAAGACCTGCCTTTTCTCTCTTCTTTCAGCCGAAACCGAAACGGAGAAAAAGGGACGGCCGCGCACGACTCCGCCCAATGAATTATTACAAGCGGTGTATCCTATCTTCGAATCTGCGAAGCTTTAGGGATCTTTTTCTCATCCCTTTCCTTTGTTGTTCTCTTCCCTTTCTAGTATTTTCTTTGCCATGCAAATTAAAAAGAAAAAAATAATATAGTTATTATAATAAATATATATAATGTAGCTATTATAATGAATATATTATAAATATAATAAAATTTAGTTTATTTCTTGTAATATTTTGCAAATTAATTTAACAAATAAAATATGAAAATAGAATTATTGTTCCACTAATTATAGTAATTAAAATTATATACGTAAATAATAAGGATGATGGTTTAATTAAATAAATATTAATTGATATAACATATATATAATAATAAATATATTATAAAATAATAAAATTTGAGTTTATTTCTTATAATGTTTTGCAAATTAATTAAACAAATAAAATATGAAAATAGAATTATTGTTCCTCTAATTATAATAATTAAAATTATATACGTAAATAATAAAGATGATGATATAATTAAATAAATATTAATTGATATAACATATAATATATAATATAGTTATTATAATAAATATATTATAAAATAATAAAATTTGAGTTTATTTCTTATAATGTTTTGCAAATTAATTAAACAAATAAAATATGAAAATAGAATTATTGTTCCTCTAATTATAATAATTAAAATTATATACGTAAATAATAAAGATGATGATATAATTAAATAAATATTAATTGATATAACATATAATATATAATATAGTTATTATAATAAATATATTATAAAATAATAAAATTTGAGTTTATTTCTTATAATGTTTTGCAAATTAATTAAACAAATAAAATATGAAAATAGAATTATTATTCTTCAAATTATAATAATTAAAATTATATACACAAATAATAATGATGATGGTTTAATTAAATAAATATTAATTCACATGAAAATAGTAAAAAGAATAAAAAAAAATCAATGAAAAAAAAGAGAGAGAAAGGAGAGATCGTTTCACGAATCTGCAAATACGTACGTTGCGAAAAGTGACAAGCAGGTCGTGAACTTTCAAATGAGAATAATCAGTATGCATTCTGTTATATATATCTTTTGTATTACCGAGAAGAGACGGGGATTCATTTTATGAACGTTCGTAAATTGTTCGACGATGTCGACGCACGCTTGCGAAAGAATGTGACAATATCGTATTTCGACGACAGAAACCCGTGAATGAATTTTCCCGTTTGTTAACGTTTCCCTGACACGTGGACTCTCGTTCTTGGTATATTCGTTGCAATTCCGGGGTGTGTAACGTTCGCCGTTCTTAAGCTTCATTACCATATTCCTTCGTTCGCTACGGAGTCCCTGCATGCCTATTACGCAGTTATTACACTGTCACTTCTCCGGACCGGTTACCATATTTGAATATTTATTTAGTTGATTATTTTCCTTTTTTCTCTTTTTTCCTTTTTTTTTATCGAGGCCATGGAAATTCGATCGCTATCTGTGGTTATTCTGCAAACATTATCAACAGCACGAAAGTAAAGGGAAGGATGCCCTCCTTTTTCTTTTTCTTCTTCTTTTTTTTTTTTTTTGTTCTTGCTACTCCACGAGACTTGCATGATATTCTTCCCTATCATGCTACGTTACAACTTACGATAAGTAAATTAATCAAAATTTACGATGATTCACGCCGCTCGGGACAGAAATTCTTGAAATATATATAATACATATAATAAAATAATTATAATATAAAATTATATATTATAATATAAAATAATTATATATATTATAATAAAATAATTTATATATATATATATATATATCGCAAGTATAATAAATCCAATTTACGTACGTTTATTCAGTAATCGATATCAATTAGAGCTCATTGTTTGTTAACTAACATCAACATAACGCAACTCAAATTTATTTAAAGTAATTGATATCAATTGGAACTCGTTCCTTGTTAACTAACATCAACGTAACGGAACTCAACGTTCAAGGATAAATAAAATTCGTCTTACAGCAGTCCGCGAAGATTATGTCGTAATCAGTAAGTACAAGACGAGGGAACTTTCCTTCAAATTATACTCTCGTCTAGAATTTTCCCAAATTTCTGTACGATCGCGAAAATAGGAACCCTCGTTTCACGAAAATTCAGAATTCACGGGCATTCTTGATTTTTCAAAGGTAAATATATGTGTTCTCTTCAATTTCAGATTCTTTAAAACGATGGATGATTTCACGTCAGCTTGCGGCGAAGGTGAGTCTGCATTACATCATATTGGATCTGTATATCCTCATCATCAATCTTGTCTATACTATTACTCTAATATTCTACGTTGCAAATATCTTCCACTCGAAAATGCACGGCACCAAAATAAGTAAACTCGTTTTGAAAAATTTACGTGTTCGCATGAAAATAAAATTCACTGATCCAACGCCTTTCTCGCAAACTTTGTTCGACTGAGAATCAAAATACAGCTTTACCATAGTGGTCACTGTGTAACTAATTTGTGATATAAATTACTTGGCAATCGACGATAAAATTAATTTGAAGAAAAGCAGAAAATAAAAAAACGCTCTGTCGCTTAATCCGTTTGCATCGCGAGGAAGAATGAATAACAACGCCTTTATAATTATTCTATTACTATTATTCAATTTAGAAAAGTAAAAGTAGGAAGGTGAAAAAAGTAAAAACTTGGCAACTTTTCGTGTTTTCTTTGTTTTTTTTTTATTATCTTCAATAATATTTTTATATTATCTTTAATTATTATTATCCTTAATTTAATCTTCAATAATTTCTTTTATATAATCTTCAATAATATTTTTATATTATCTTTAATTGTTATTATCCTTAACTATCTTCAATCATTTGTTTTATATCATCTCCAATAATATTTTTATATTATCTTTAATTATTATTATCCTTAATTTAATCTTCAATAATTTCTTTTATATCATCTTCAATAATATTTTTATATTATCTTTAATTGTTATTATCCTTAACTATCTTCAATAATTTCTTTTATACCATCTTCAATAATATTTTCAGATTTTTAAATATTATTTTCAATAATCGCTTCAACTAATTTTTGTTCGAAGTCTTTTTCGCATAGTCTTGAAAATAACATCACTGTTCAGACTAGAAACATGAATGTTCCGGTGATACTGGCCGGGAAGATTGCGTTAATGGTGCAAATGGGTTGAAATATACGTGTCGCGACGTGAAGGAGACACGCGAACAAAAAGAAATTCCCCGAAAGTCGAGGTCCGAGGTCTACGAAAACGAGAGTCCAAAATGTCCGCGTACCGTTATTTTCACCAGTGAGGTGCAGCACGCCGAGAAGAAAGAAGCGACTCTACCAGGAGAAACGAAACTAACGACACCGATCAAGCTACGAATCTGGACAGAGTTTGAGAAACGAAGGATCGCCCACGCACGGCCACGTACACCAAGCCCGTTGTTAATTATCTGCCGCCGTTTATCAACCGGTAGAGCAGAAACTTTCCTTCGGCGTTTCTCCCTCTTCCCTCTTTCGTCCGTCTCTCATCCTCCTCGCATCTCTTTCGTTCCTTCCCCCCCCCCCCCCCCCCCTCCTTCCTCTCGATGCGTTCTCTCTGCTCTTTCTGATCTCTCGTTTTTCCTGCGTTCTTGATCCGACGTCGAGGCCGAGCGGGATTAATGAACAGTGCAAGAAGATTTGTACTTGTATCGCAAATACATGGTAAAAAGTTAGAGAACGTTTTAAAAAAAGGAATATGCACAGGGTGTCCCTGTGTCTGTAGTACAAGCGAGAACAAAAGAAATTTTATTCTTTTTTTTTCGACTTATTCTTTTCGCGTAGAAATCATCTCATTGTTTGTACTGCTCTATACACCTTGTATACAGGGCGATTCACGTAACTTACACGCGCGAAATAATTTTCAAATTGTACGTCTAATGAGAAATTGTTCGATACAGGAATTGTGTGGTTTCAGCCACTTGCGCTGGCAACTGGTTTCGCGGACCATAACGAGAGACCGAACCCGTACACAGTAATTCGTCGCTTTCTTGAGAAGTAATAAACTTGTCACTTGTTTTGCCCGGGTTACATTTAAATATACTTAAGACTGAGAAAATGTTGCAATTTTGAGACAAAAGATTCTCGACGTGCGTGGCAAGGAAGGCAAAATATAACGTGTCAATTTTTTTGAGTGAATTTCGAAATTTCCATCTTTATTTTTTTTTTTTTTTTTTTTTTAATTGGATCATACATCTTTTTCTTCACAGATGGAAAGAATATTAAATTCCAAGTAAAAAAGTATTAGTCCTAAACCTAATGGTCTAAGGAGATATCTTACCATAAATTTGTCTCGAGGATGAAACTTTTCGTTATCAAGCAGTTTTCATTAGACGCGTAATTAAAATTTAAAAGTTATCCCAGGTGTGCAAGTTGCATCGAATCACCCTGTGTATATTACAGAGAAATGTCGAAAATGATCACGAAAATGTTGAGAAATCGAAGAAGCGAGGTGCACGAAGAACGCCTCTGGGACACATTCCCGAGGAGAAGATGCCGCTCCGTCGCCCATCCATTGACCGTCACTTAGCATTTATCAATACCTTCCATTCGACGCCCATTATCCTATTAACACGCCACGCTGTAAAAGAAGAAGCTCTTAATTGCAATCACGACGTGTCTCCTCCCTCGTTGAACTCTTCGTTCGCTACTTTTCGTCGATTTGCTTCCACCGTCGCGACTCGCAACGTACCTACTTCATTTAATTTTCCTGACTAAATCGTAAATATAAATCGTCTTGCGGATTTTTTTTTTTTTTTTTTTTTGAACGCGCAAATAACTCTCTGATCGCTCACAGTCTGTCTGTCGACGTACCAACTGCGGTTTACGATCTTGTACGAGGATTTCATAATCGATATACAGGGTGTTTCGTGACTTATGCGACCCACTTCGGGAGCTGATTGTACGCCTAAAAATAATGAAAAAAAGTTATATAAATATATGTCCTATCTGTCTTCGTTTATGAGATATAATGAATTTTC